AAAATTAGATAAACCCTAATCGAGGGCCATTCTACAGAATAAATATCCTGTACTCCCTGAAAATGTCAAGGTCACAAAAGATAAGCAATGAAGAACTCTTCCAGATTAAAGGAGTCCTAAAAAGATGGTGACTAAATGCTATGCATGATTCTGGATTAGACTCTCAATCAGGAAAACAAAAGAGATGTTCTTGTTTTTAAGAAATCAAACTGAAGTAAAATGTAAAGAGGCATCATGCTTGCGACTTAATTCAGGGAAAAAGCTGTTTATATAGGCGTGTGTTAGGGGAGGAGGAGGAAGAGGGAACGGGAGAATGATAAAGCAAACGTAAAATGCCATCATCTGGGAAATCTGGGCAAAGGTTATACAAGAATTCTTTGTACATCTATAATTTTTCTATAAACGAAGGCCAAGGTGGGAGGACTTGAGGCCAGGAGTTTGCGATCAGCCTGGGCAGCATAGTGAGACCCTGTCTCTACAAAAAATTAAAAAATTAAGTGGGCATGGTGATGTATACCTGTAGTCCCAGCTACTTGGGAGGCTGAGGCAGGAGGATCCCTTGAGCTCAGGAGTTGGAGGCTGCAGTGAGCTGTGATGGCACCACTGATCTCCAGCTTGGGCCACAGAGCTAGACCCTGTCTCAAAAAACAAACAAACACAGCTGGTTGAGAGCTACGTACCAAGGTGTCTACTGTTGGTTGTACTCTGGCTTTGCTAGCGCTCTATAGGAAAACTTACTCTACCTCTCTCCCTCTTTATTTCGTTAACTCTTTTGGATTTTATAAATTATACATATTTGTAAATATTTCAAACAATACAAAATTGTAGAGAAGTGCCCCCCACACTGAGTTAAGTGATGTTAATAGGTTGGTTGTCTCATAAACGTTTCCAGACTTACACAGATAACTGGACATGCACACATGTATACAGAGTCTTCTCTCCCCTGTATGTCCCTGCTACTGAACACTGTTGAGTATCTTTTTTTTTTTTTTTTTTAACCTAGCCATGGACATCTTTCTCAATATGTACATATAGCTCTGCCTCATTCTTTACCAGTTTTTTCTCTAAATGAATGATTCCATCATCCCTAAAACTCATCAAGGACTAATAAACTAGCTTTAATGGTAGAACCATTTGTAAGGACACTGAGATAGCTGCTAGCTGACAGAAGTGCTCTGGGTTTTTTGGTACCAAATAAACAAGACTCTCTCAGGCATACCCCAGTGACAGGAATTCGGAGACCTTTTCTCTAATGAGAGGCTATTAAGGTGACTCAGCTCCAGCCACTTCCATTTTCTGTGTCTCTACACTCAAAGGTGAAATCCCCAGAAGAGAAAACATGTTTGGTCACTTTGAGCAGCCTCTGTTCTTTTTAGTAATCAGCTGTGGACAAGGACAGCAAGGACACAGAATGCAGAATTCTGTGCTGTCATTGGCCCCTGGGTGCCCTTCCCCAAGAAGGACCGTCAGAGCAGCCTTCTCACCCTGACTTCTCTTCCCGCAGCTGCTCTAATTGTTTCCTGTCTGGTCTGTTCCAGTCTCTTCACTGAGTCTATCCTCCCTACCACCTCTAGAGTTACCCTTGACCACCATGATTCTCAAACGTGGTCCCTACACAAGCAGCGTTACCGGGGAATGTGTTACAAATGATCATATTATTCCCCCATTTTAAAAACTTCATGGCTCAGCCGAACACACACTCCAGAGTTGTCGCTCACAGCATAAAAGGCCCTTTGTGATCTCACCCCAGCCTGCTTGTCCAGCCGTCCCCCCCCATACACACACCCTCTCTGCATCCTGTCACACAGCAATTTGCTGAGCCCTTTCCTGGACTGCCACCTGGTGAACTCCTCTTCCCTCACTTCCTCTGTGATGCTGGCCCCAGCCCGGCCCCCCCCACCCCCAGGCACCTTCTGCTTTGCATGAAACCACTCTGAACTCTCAGGTATACCGGACTAACAAAGATATGTCATTTGTTGACTGTGTCTTTTATCTCCCAGAGTTTGCCCTTAGGGAGGGAATCGGCCTCTTGATCCTATGGAACCTGGGTGGGTTGAGGCTGCTGGCTGTCCCCATAGCGAGTCACACTGGGTTGTAAGTCACTGTGTATCCTTAAATCAGTGTGCTGATACTCAGAAATTTTCCCTTCTGGTCCATGTAACATTTGCATTGGGAAGAGAAAGATAGAAAGGTTCTGTCATGACAAGAGAAGAGTTTCGGTGAATTTATAAACGAGAGAGGGAGAGATTGGTTTTTGAAAGACCCCAGGTCCCCCTTCCACTTACCACTTATCCTGACAGCATTTAACGTGAAGTTACTGTGGCCAGAGAAGAATCTTACCAGGCTTTAATTAAAAGCACAAGGGATTTTGTTTCGTGTCTCCTTCCTATCTTCCTCTTTCTCCTCTTACTACTCTCTTTTTCTTTTATTCGTCTTCACTTCCCTGTTCTCCCTTCCCCTGCCCCTCTTCCTCCTCCTCTTCATCATCCTTTCACATTTCAGTGTTTTTGGCTTGGCTAATCCCTATGGATAGAAACTTAGCCCAGCAGGATATTGATTACCAAATATGGCATTGCTGCTAAAGATGTTAGAGGAATGTGGCTCGAATTCTAAGCCTCTGGCCTCTGAGTAAGCTGCCAAACAAATTAGGTCATTTGCTTTTTTTTTTTTTTTTTTAATAAGGATGCTGGAACTTTGATTTGGAACATGATGTTGATGTTATTTTAGCTCCAATGGGAGGAGGGGGATGAAGAAGGGGGCAGGGAGTGGGTGAGACTCAGTTCAGCATGTTTTAGGACCTGAGCCACCAGCCCAGGCTGGGTAAGAGGCCCAGGACCTGGTGTGGAGCCTTGGTCGATTCTGGAACATCAGTGCAAGAGCTGGGGCACAGAATGCAGATGTGCAGCTTCATTATCTGAACCTAGAAGCTCCGGGGAACTACCAATGGTCCCAGGATACTCTGTCCAGCGTTACCCTCGGTGGCCTGGGCCACAGCACTCACGTCGTGAGCTCAGATTTAGGCAAGTTGCTTCTTCACGGAAAGGCTGGTCAAGTTCAGTGCCAGACAAGTTGCTGCTCGGTGTCTGACGGGGAGGTGACGTGAATGTACAAGCCCTTCCACTGCGTACCTTGCAGTGATCGCCAGGGACTGCACTTGAACCGCAGCTCTCCAGGCCCATATTTGGAAATATTTATTCTGTCGTGACATTAGCTTTGTTAGGATGAAATGCTTTTAAGTGGAAGTTGTAGAAATAAATACTGCTTCAGAACGCAGCCTTGTTTTTTCCTTATGTATGTTTTTGGCAAGATAATACTGAGGTTTCCCAAATTCAAAAAAAAAAAAAAGGGGGGACCAGTTAAAGAAAATTTCTTTTTCTGTTTTATAAAACTGACACCCCTTGTCACTTTTTTGTGTTGGTTAGGTGTACACAGGGTGTCTTTTCCCTGCCTTGTTTGCTGTTTTCTATTGGTTTTCCTTCTTAGAGAATGAATAAATCAGGCTCACAAAGAAATCCCACCCCCTCCAGGACTTCTGCAGGTCAGGGCTCTGTGAGTTTGGTTGTGTCTCCCTGAGGACCTCTCTTCCCTTCCCCCTTACTTCCTCTTGGTGCATCACCATCCAGTCACAAGCTCCCCCTTGCATCCTTGAAGCTGAGCCTCTGAAGTTCAGAGTCATTTGTCCTGGTCTACAGAGTAAGAGTTTCTTTCTTTTTTGGAAATTTGTTCTTATTTTTCTACAAGCTAATTAAGAAAAAAGGAGGGCTCTGGGGCGCCGAGATCCACATATGTAACGGGTGCATTCGGAACACACCATAAGACAAACATGGGACCTGGGTCTATTTTGGATGCTCTGTTCTGGGATGGCTTTTTTGTTGTTGAGGGGTGGGGGACGAGTTCTTGCCATGTTACCCAGGCTGGTCTTGAATTCCTGGGCTCAGGTGATCCTCTAGCCTCGGCTTTCTGAGTATTTTGAGTAGCTGGGATTATAGGTGCACCACAGTGCCAGGCTGGGATGTTTTTTGACATTATTGTTGGGGGTCTATAATTCATAGCATTGGTCTTAATTATCGGAAGGTTCTTCATTATGCTTAGTAAGAAAGGCATTCTTAAAAGGGAAGTTTCCAAAATAGACTTGTCTTGTCCTAAATCTTGTCTTTCACGATTTTGCAATTTATTTTATTGATCGTGGTTTGTTGTAGGTAAACTGTAACGATAGGGTCAAAGGTAATTGAAATTACTATCTCTTTGGCTGATATAATCCTTTGCCTTTCCATGTGGCCAGTAAGCCAACTATAATCAAAATCAGGACTTAACTACATCAAGACATTTAGATTTATATAATTTTATATAAATTTATAAGCTAACTGGAATCAAATGATATGGGTTATATGGAAACCTTACAATGATTTAATTTCTATCTTCCGATTAACATGGAGTACTTGTATTACCTTTATAAAGTTCTGCAGTTAGAAAGAGATGCGAATCTTTTTCTCCATTTGTAGGTAATGAAACTAAAAGCATTGAAGTCCTTTGTTCTGGAAGGAGATGAAAAAAATAAATAAAAGCATCAAAGAATTATGTTCTTTTAAGTCAGAGCCCAGGCCTCTTAGGATTTTAGGCGTCAGACTCCAGTATTGCACAGGTCTTTACATTAATTCTTTCATTCTCACTGATAACCATTAATCACAGTTTTTACTGGTGCTAGGAATTTGCTGGTTCAAATTTTAAAAGTTGAACTGGAAAGTTTTTGTGAAAGAACAAAGAGGATCGTTGAAAATTCATGTAACTAAATTTTTAAATTGAGTAAACTAAATCCCCCTGACTTCCTGAACAAGTTGTGTTGTGGGGTTTTGTATATTCCATGTAAGTAGTGAGAATGAGAGCTCTTATTGACCTTTCTTCCTGATAGGCTAGGGTTTACTGGTGTGTTTATTTTGTCACCATTCCGGTTTGACTCTAAGGAAATGAAAACATCTTCCATTTGTTCTTTGTTTCCAAAGGGCATCCGCTTCGATCCTGAAATTCCGCAAACACTACGACTAGAGTTTGCTAAGGCAAACACGAAGATGGCCAAGAACAAACTAGTAGGGACTCCAAACCCCAGTACTGCTCTGCCCAACACTGTACCTCAGTTCATTGCCAGAGAGCCATGTAAGTTGATCTACTTTTCATTTTGAAGAAAATAAATAACAAGAATTGTTCATGTGCTGCATATGAGATCATACCATGGGATGTAGTGCTGGTTGACTCTTATTTTCCATTTCTGGGAAGAAGTTGCCTATTCTTACTGTCTGAACTCTAAATACAGCAGCCTTGGTGATTGGCTGTCTGCAAAGATGGTTCAGCTTGAGCAGAACCATAACTTCAAAATTTTATTTGATGTGCTGTAGATTTCCTTAATGTGATACTGACCATTGTGTGCCCCTCTGTACCTTGGGGTGTAAACCCTTCTTTATGCCCCTTTTCTTGGACAAAAGTGCAAGTTATTAGCACTCACTTTACTCCATTTGTTGAAGGATATTAGTTCTGTGGCTTTGGAAAAATAGCATATTAAAAGTGAAAGAAGTAGATTTTAGGAAGTTGGTTCTATTTTTGAGAACAGTTTAGCTGTAACTCTAGGGAAAAAGGTAAACACATAAAAAAACTTATATATTGGGACAATCAGTCTAAAAAACTAATACCAGTAATGCTTTAAGGAATTTTGGGGCTTCCTGTTTTAAATTAATTGGCCAAAGACACTGACTAATTGCTCAACAAATCTTTTACCCAACATTAATGAGCTTATTCTGTTAACTGTCCAGGCTACAATTTCTGCCTTTCATTGATTAACGTTAAAAGGTTGTCTTAATTGTCCTCCTTAAGCTCAGTCAGTGGCAGAAGTGAGGCATGAGACAGGCCTTAACTTTTCCTTTCATTGCAGAGCCACGTGTGATTTAATATGGCAGGGCGCTTAAGGAAGCCCAAGTGACTTGCAGTTATTCGGAATAATTCTGTTCTGTCGTTTTTGATCTTCTTTCCAAACCACATGATTGTGATGTTCTTCCTGCTTTCCCTGACAATACATTTCAACTATTCCTTTTGAAACTGAAGGACACACGGGTTCCTTGCCCCTCCCCCATGTCATGTGCATGTCAGATTTAATCAGGTTATCGTGGAAGTTATAGTCATGCTGTAGCTCACTCTTGAGAAAGCTACTGCTTGTCCATGGAAACTAATAGATAAGAGTTTCTCCCCCAGCATGTTCTAAATTAAATTTTTTCTACGAAGCCAGAAAGAAATTACTTTGTTCTTCTATGTTCCATGTCCTAGGGAAACTTGAATCCTTTGTTTATTTGGGAAGGAAATCGAAACAAAAGTTTTGTCTTGTCGTGCAGTTGTAGTACAGGAGGACATAGGGACATGCCTTACGCAATTCTTTGTCCTTATAGCATCTAGCTTAGTGCTCTGTGTGTATTTAACAATATTTGTTACAGTGAGTGGATAAATTGATACTTGAATTTGGCTCTTTGTAGGATTATAGAAGCATTTGTATGCCTCTTTATTTCTTTGTGAAATTTCTTCTCTCTCAGTCAAGACATCAGAAGAGAGCACTTTTAGGATGCCTGATTTTCAAAAGATAACCTAGAATAAGTCTGCTTTTTTAGTGAATTTGTCAGCCTCAGATCTCAGAGTCCTTTGAAATGATTAATTCAGACAGGAAGTATAATGCTAATGATACTTAACTTGATCCTTTAAGTTCTTTGCCAAATGCTTTGCTTTTTAGGACTACAAAACTTTTTCTGAGCGTTTTACAACAGCTCTGTGAAATAAGTAGCCAGGGAGGTGACAGGCAGTTCACGACATGATAGACAAAAGCAACAGAGATGAGCAAACTTGGCATTCACAAGTCCCTGAAGTTACAGGAGAGCATAGCAGTAGAGCTTAGAGCTCTGCTCTGGTCAGCTCTGGTCATCTCCCTTCTTTGCATACAGAACAGCTCAGAAATG